GCATGGGCCAGGTCACAAGGGTGCAGACCTCACCTCTCCAACAAATGTTGAGGGAGCACTACCTGAACTGGGACAACTGGGAAAGACTGGTCTGTCCCTGCTTTCATGGAGTCAGCAGTCTAGTGAGGGAGCCAGACTTTAACCAGACGATCCTAGTGCTTGAAGTGTGTATAAGAAGGATGTCCTTGTGTGTTTCTTGTATAAATAAAATGCCACATAGATGTTTTAAAAGCCAGGAGGAATGCAAGGCACAGCACAGGGCATCCAATTCCATCCAAGGGTCATGGAAGGCTTCCTTCATCAAGTGACACTGAAGGTGACATGTAAAGGGTGGTAAAATGAGGCAAGCACTCCTGTCAGAGTGAGCAGCCCAGTAGAGGCCCTGCCCCAGGATGGATGTGGGCCCTTGGCAGGAGTGGGAAGAAGTCAGGTATGGCTGGGGTGTAGACACAGAGCATCCAGAGTCTGGATAGGAGGCAGGGTCACATGCTGCACCTCACAGATACACTCAAGGATTCTGGACATGTTCTAAAAGCATGAAAAGCCTTTGAAGAGTTAATAAGCCTCAAGAGGATCCTAGCAGAGAAATCAGTATTTCAGGCAGCAGTTGGCTGACACCTTTGGACATGAAGACTTGATTTGCCCATGATCACTGAAGGTTTCATCACTAAATATCAGGCTAATTATGGCTTCTCAATGATGGCACATCTGACTCTACTGAAAACATACAACATGGTGCTAGCAATACCGAGAAACCTTTGCAAAGGAAAAAAAAGAAACCCCAAAAAACCCCCCAGAGTCACTGATCTCAAAAAGAGAGGAGGAAAAAAGAAAGACTTCATGTTGAAGATAGGAACACAAATGTACGTAAGACTGTTTTGCCTCCAGATGTTATAGTGGAGGTATTTATATACCTTCTCTCTAAACTGGGCATGATTATGAGAGAGCCTCAGACAGAATTTAAGGTCCAGCTTTACAAAAATAACCAAGGCAATCTTAAAGAAGAGGGGCTTTGAAGTTATTTTAAGAGGGAATCTGGATTTTGCATTGTTTTGGACGAAGGTGAAATCAGAAGCTAGAAATTGCATATGGAGGTGGTGAAATTTCAACTGAAGGGGAATGCGAGGTTTCAGAAAAGAAGAGGGGCAAGCACCATAGGAGGCAGCTTCCTCTGAAATGAAAGCAGCTGGACTGTCGGACCATTCTGAACACACCATGAACAAGTTGTCATCGTCAAAGATATTTCATCCTTTGGCTTTTGAGGATGGTCCATTGGTGCTGAATGAGGTCAGAGGAAACCTTTAAGGAGAATGTTCAAAGTTTGGGCCAATTACAACAGCCAAGATTTGAAAGCAGCCCAAGTGTCCATCAGTAGATGAGTGGATAAAACAACTATGGTACATTTACACAATGGAATACTACTTAGTTGTAAAAAAAGAAAAAGAAAATTTTACCTTTGGTGACAGCATGGATGGACATGGAGAACATTATGCTAAGTGAAATAAGCCAGTCCGAAAAAGACAAATACCATATATTTCACTCATATGTGGAATCTAATGAATAAACTGAACTAAAAAGCAAAATAGAGACAGACTTATAGAGAATAGGACGACAACTTGGGGCAGGGGGCATTCATTACAGGGTAGGGGGACCGAGGAAAAAAAGAGAAAGGAGTCAAGGACATGGACAACAGTGTGGTGATGGGGAGAGGGGTGTAGGTGGAAGAGGATAAGAACGGGATAAATGGTAACAGAAAAAATACAATAAAAATAAATTTTAAAAAAATGTTTGTGCCAATTAGGAAGCCTCTCCTCTTTGACACACAGATGGTATAACCTGTGTGTCATTGAGGAAGCCAGTCATTGTATTCAAAACCTCAATGGAAGATGGTTGGGTGGCTGTCAAATCCCTGGTTAAGCATGAGATAGGCACAAATGACCAGGCTGAGGAGACCCTAAGAGAAAGGAAGGAAAGGCTGAAAGAACAGGAGACTTTCTTGAATGTCCCAAGGCCAACAGGGACAGGCATTCTGTGTTCAAATTTTGTATTTGCTTTAAAGCTCATGGTCTTCTAAAGTAAGGCATTTCCAGAGCACCCTTGCACATTGAGGATGAATATTCAAGAAGCCACAATAACGTGGCATATAAAGAAACTATACATTAATCAGCAGCAAAGAATGTGAGCACAACTGAGATGGCAGAAAGGACCAGTCTGACAAATATGATTGTCAAATGAGCCAGAGACAAGAAAAATAGCATACTAACAAAATGTTATGTGGAAGTAGATCATGTTAAGTCCTATAAATATTTGATTAAATTTGCTTTTCTTTCCTTCAGAGTTGTGATTGTTGCAGTAGTACACACTCTTCAAGCTCCCTGTAGGCTGCATTTTCATTTCCTCCTTCGTGTAGGGAAGTGCCTTTGTAATTCCATTTACTGCCTTGATGTTTTTACCCAGTCGTTGAGTTTGATTATATGATGCAGGTTGTTCTTGTATTTTTATTGTTTTTGAGATGTACAGTTTGTACATGTCCTAAAAATATTTTAATCCCTTTGGCATGGTGCCCATTTGTTAAATTTGTATAAGGCCCTAATGCTGTTTTTTGTATTTTAGGTGTAGGTTTATGGTTTATATATTGAAGTTGGTATGGCTGTGCTTTTAATAGAATGCTAAATAAAGACTTTGAGAATGGATTTTGCATCTATTACAGGAGAGTTATGTTTTCAATGTACATGAAGGCAGCAATTGGTTTTAAGATTACATTCTTGTCCACTTGTATTATCTTGGAAGGCTCATTAATATGTTACACTTAATATTCTCCACAGTTAACAGTAGAATTTATGAGATGTTAGTTTCTGATGAAGAGGTTTAAATTAGGCTATGATTTGATCAAATGTCCTTTTAGCATTTTACCTCAAAAGGAGACTGTTCGTTTGCCTAAAATTTAGTTGAACTTGAAAAAAATACATGACAGTATACCTGAAAATAATATAATAATCTATGTCAACTGTAATTGAGAAATAAAAGATTTAAAAATGGAAAAAATATGATTTTTCTTGAATTTCTCAGATTTTAAAGTACTAGATGAAAGGGAAAAAAATAATGCCTTGATTAGCATTCTTGCAGCAAAGCTAAACTAATGTGAAACTGAGAGGGTGGGCAGATGAGTAGAGAAATAGATTAGATTCATGCCTCAAGCTTCCAAAGCATTTTTTAAAAAGATTTATTTATTTTTAGAGAAGGGAAAGGAAGGAGAGAGGGAAAGAAACATCAAATGTGTGGTTGCCTCTCATACGCCAGCCCACTGGGGACCTGGCCTGCAACCAGGCATGTGCCCTGACTGGGAATTGAACCGGCGGCCCTTTGGTTCACAGGCTGGCATTCAATCCACTGAGCCATGCCAGGCAGGGCCCAAAGCATTTTTAAAAATGGAAAATACTGAAATTGTGAAAGTTTGATGTAGTGTCCTTTTCTAAAAATTCACATATTTTCATTGATAATGAAAATTGCTGAGTTTTAATACTTCAATACATCAAGTGGTCCATTCAGTCCAGTTTCCATGTTCATCTAGAACAGACATTAAAAGTAATTCTATGCTGCATTATTTAAGATTATTGGAAAGTTACTTGTTTTTATGACATATTCTGATTATAGAAAATGATCATGAGTGTGGAATAAATACTGGATTAAATGTTTTCAAAAAACTATACATGAAAAGATATTTGGAAAAACAGAAGATGGGGGAGATTTTGAAAAAGATGCTTCTGAAAAAGGCGCTAAAGAACATGGCCTTAAAAAGAGAGTGTGAAGAAGGAAGTGCCTGAAGTCTATAGAGAATGGTCTGGAAGGAGAACCTAAAAAGAAGAGCCTCAGAAGAGATGATGGTGAGAAAGGCCCTGCAAAAGGTCTGAAGGTGACTTCAAAAACGAATCTGAAGAGGAAAATAGCCCCAAAAAGGGTCTAAGAAAGATGTCTTGGGAAGAGAATCTGAAGACTACTGTGAAAAACAGTTCAAAGATGCCTCCAAAAAAAAAAAAAAAAAAAAATGAGAAGAAAATGGTGTTGAAAAAAATGTTAGGAGAAATGACCCTGAAAAATTAGAATTGGAAGATGATGGGTCTGAGCAGTGATGAGGAAAGCTCTGAGAGTGTGACGATTCAGATGCAAAGGGAGAAGATGAATATAAAAAAGTATTCCGATGCTGTATCACATGGAAAAGAGGAGGAAAAAAACACAGATGGAGAAGGGTTGATGATGCTGAGGAGAAGGAGGGAGATGATGCAGGTGGAAAGTGTTGGAAGGCGAGGAATCCAACGAGATGGTGTTTGATGAGGAGGCTCCAGTGACAAGTACATGCCCTGACCGGTGCGAAGGGGCCTGCAGCGGGTGAAGGGCCCCTGTCCACAAGCAGCGGCTTTGTCCTCAGTAGTGATGGTGATGATGATGAGGAGGAGGAGATTTAATATCTTAAACTTGTTTTTATGGAGACACCTCCATCTACCCCCGTGGGGTAATTATTAGAAATGTTACATGACCACATGCATCAAGATATTGCAGGATGCGATCGGACTACTCTTTGGAAATTTTCATTGTAATCAGCACTCAGTGATTTTAAGTATATTTAAATGGCTGTTCATTTAAAACTTCACAGTCATGGTGCAAGTTAAGAAAAAAAAGGTGGAAGAAATAAGTCCATAGCTGTAAAACACTAGCTATGCAAAGATTAAACTTTCCTATGAAAAAAACAGATACTTTCAAGTTATGAAATAAAACACAAAGCTAACAAATGCAGGTTAATGTGAAGAGAAATATTTGAACACAACATTATCCATGAAGACTGAATATAGGGGGATAAAAAGATATTAGAAAAGAAAATAAAACCTGGATAAATAATATTAGAATAGAATTCAATACAACTAGCCGATTACTGAAATTTTGGGTCTGGTTGTGTAAAACCCTGAAAACACCAATTCATGCACATCATTTAACAGATCCAGCTAACTTCGTTGTAATTTAATTTTATTACAGTATCATCTTCTCTTCACATGTGCTCGCAGCTCCTAGTGTGTTGCTCACATGATGTATATATGACACAGAGTGTTATTGCCCAAAGTACCAAGAGGGTGTACAGGGGATGGGATCTTCCTTCCAGATGGTTTTCAGTCTCTTAGCCCAAGATGCCACCATCCCCTTTCTTTCTTCTTCTGATGCAAACTCAGGAGCAAAACTGATCTGAGGGGCAAGGACTTTAAATCCACAGAAGTGCAGTGTACCATGCTATAGCCACAAAGAAAGAAAATAATGAATTAGAAGCCATACCCTTTACATATCATTCGGTTAAACAATTAAAGGGGAGCCGGTATGAAATAAAACTTCAAAAAACAACCGAACAACTTTAATGCTACTGGGTAACCGAAAACAACTCAAATGCCCCATAACCTTTATGCTGGCCTCTACCGGGGAGGTGAACTCTGGGCAACTGGAGGTTCCAAATTCTCTTCTGTTAATTGAGATTAATCTGTAATCTTTGCTATTGATTCAGACACTAACCTTCATGATTTTGATTGATTAGGCAAATTATGATACATTCATGTAATAGATTATTCGAGAATGAGATTATTCTACCTATAATGTGCCACCATGGAAGGTTGTTTGAGATGTACATTAAATGAAAACAATGAGAAATTTGAAGGAACATTTATGGTATACCATTTAAGTAAAAAAATAAATAAACCTAATAATAAAAAGTATATATGAGCCATAAGGAAATTCATGAATTTATTGAAAGTGATCATTTTTTATGGTGGAATTAAGAGGATGTTCTATTTTTATACTTTATATTCTCCCTTTTTTCTATAATATATACTTTTGCAAACTGAAAAAATAAAAAATTTCTAAAAAACAAGAAGAATTTAAGCTTGGATAATGGCACATAAGAGACCTGTTGGCCTGTGGAGAATCAACTGCAGGCTTGCAGATTACCATTTCCTTCAGCACAGCATCACTAAATGGAATCACTGTGTCATCTTTTTTCAAAGAAGACCGCCCCCATCTCACAAGAAATATCTCTCACTTCTCTCTGCATTCCTTCCCTTATCCCACACTCTTCTCCAGGCCTGTCCCATGAGGGCGGTGAGAGCACAAGAGGCTCACATCATGGCCACATTTTAAAAGCCAGCTCACAAACTTTTAAATATGTGACCACTCCCTTCTTCAACAGAGTCCCTGCCTAACAACTTGGAAGAGCAGTTCCCATTTAAGTTTCCAGTTCTCCGTGGAGTTCTGTACGGGGATCTGGTGGCCTGACCAGAGCTCCCTTTCTCCTCCCCTCAGCCTGCTTGACATGCCTTGCCCACTGCTTGCCCCTTTGCAGAGAGCCATTCTTGGCTGTCCCTCGGGCCCAGCAATGCGCACACGGGCAGCTGGCACCCACCTGGGAGAGTGGGCTCTGAGCCCTGAGTCCTGGGGACCTGGAGTGGCAGACTTTGGGGAGGAAGCACTGCCCCTGGCTCCATGGACCTCATCTGTAGGGCAGGTGAGGCTGCTGAGAATGCCAGGCCCAGGCACTTCTAGCCAGGGTTTGAGCATGGCCTGTGAAGGACACTATAGCTCTGTGGCACTCAGTGTCCCTGCAGGGCCACCTGGGACAATTCCGTATACCATGCAATTGGTTCAGCTAACCAGGTTTGGCTTAGCTTCCCTCCGAACAATATTGAAGCATATCATTATAACACGTTTGTTTCCTATTGGCTAACCTTTGCATTGCCACTAAGTACAAAATTAAAGAGGATAAAATGTTATAATTTCCTGTATCCAGGTAGAGTCAAAATGGTCTGTGTTTCAGGCTTCAGGCACATCTCTTTTTTGTACTGGGGAAAGCTATGGGGGAGGGAGAGACGGGGTGAGGTGCAATGGCTACCTGGAGGGGCCACAGGAAGTATTTAAAATCTCCGCTGACTCCAGTTTTCGTGTACATCTCAGGTGTGCTCCCCGTGGTTATTGAAATGAGGGCCAATTTATCCTGCAGTGAAGAAAACAAATGTATTCGGGTGAACTCCAGAAGAGGAGAAAAATAAATGCTACTGTGACTTCAGCACAAAGCATTACAATGACCAGGGGCAATCAGAAGGAATAGCCTGGGCCACTACCCAGCTCTGCCCTGCTCCTGCTTCTAGTAGGCAGCAGGCTTCGGGGCTGTGGGGTGAGAAGTGGCTAAGGCCCAGGCGCAACCTGGGCAGCTGGGAGGGCTGAATGAATGGCAGGCGGCGCCTGTGCATGGCCCCAATCAGTAAACAGTAGCATTACTTCTAGTCTAAGCTGGATCTTTGTGACTCAGTGTTTTCCTTACATGCACTATTTTTCTGAGGCTTTCTGAATTTTAAAAATCATGTATATTAGTAAGAAATTATTTTAGTAAGAAATTCACAGCTACCATGTATTAGGTATCTACCAGGATCCCTGTGAACCTCTGAGAGGTGAACTGGGTGAGGCCAGGGCTAGACTCTGGCTGGGGACAGAGCACACAACCCTCTCAGAGCCAGGGCTGACCACACCATATGGCCCAGTCCACCCTCCTGACACCAGCCCAGGCCCTTAGCCATACACCGGAGAGTTGTGGATGCATCTGTATCCCTCACTTGACAAATTTGAGAAACAAGGCTTTTTTTTTCTACCTATGGACAGCACACAGTGCTTTCTTTGCACATAGTCGGTGTCCAGTCAATATTTGTTTTTGAAAAAGCAAACTAGAGGTATAACTTGATGAGTGTACCCCATCCCTCTCTCGGTCTATGTGATCCTTATCCCAGAACACATACCTTGAGAAAACCAGAGTCATAGAATCCTGGGAAGTCAAAGGCAAACCCCTGGCACAGCACCCTGTCCATCCAGCCCTTCAGGATGGCCGGCACACTGAACCAGTACAGCGGGAACTGGGGACAACACCAAGGACAAACAAATGATGAGGTTGTCTCAGGACTCGTAGTTTAGTCTCTCTGGTGACTCAAAAGGAATCCTGCTGTCCTCTTCCAGGGTGACTGAGCAGGCAAGTACAACCCACAGGGCAGCATGAGTGAGGACATTTCTTCCCTTTCACTCTGAGGCATGCAGTGCGGATGGACGTGTGCTGGTGGAGTGGGGCGGGGCAGAGTGGACAGGTGGCTCTGCATTCCTCAGGGACATCTCCCGTATGCTGCTTCCTGAGCAGACAGGAAAGCACTGGGAAGCTCTGCTAGGCACTGACTCTATGGTAGCAGTCTCTGTGACTGATGCAATGGAGAGAAGAAGAAGAAGAGTGTGGCAAAAGGGTTTGCTCCTTTGTGTGCCTGCGGGTGAGCTGCTGGCATATGGGAGTCAAACTGAGTTAGGTTCTGAGAGGCTTCAAATTTTGACACAAACTAAAGCCCTACCCTTAGATTCCACACATCAGCAGTAATATCTCCTTGAAGTTCTCTCAGTTCCCATGGAAGCCCAAACACTATATCCCACACTGTGATCAATGAAAAGTGATGGACACAGACAATAATTTGTTACTAAAGGTGAAAGGAAGCCTATGCTTCATGTGCTTTTACTATAAATCTAACTCAGAACTTGGCATTGAAATCCAAGCTTCAAAAACTACTGCTTTGTGATACTGGCAAGTTACTTAACCACTCCGTGCCTCCTTTTCCTAATTTGCAAACAGAGCTACTCCTAGTTCCTAGCTCACAGCATTGTGGTGAGGATCCAGAACAGAGTGACTGCTCAGTGAAGAGTGAGCTATGGTGATAGTAACAGTAGTGTTGAATGAAAGAAACTAACAATATAGGCCTCCTGGACAAAGTATCAGAAAGAGCTGGGTGGTGGATGGAAGAAGAGACGTGACATGGGGCAGAATTAAAAAAAACCTATTATTAAAAGAACAGGCCTTGGCTTGCTTTAGCTACCCAGTTACTTGACCCCAGGGAGAGAGGGAGAAGAGCGAGAGAGCGGCACGTGGTTCTGAGGCCAGTGTTGATATAGCCCTATTGTCTTGGTGCCAGAATAGGGTGGTCTTGTTTTCCTGCCCACTTCCAGCACTCAGTCAGGGTTGGGAAACAGATAATTTGGACCAATCAGTTCTATGTTTGAGATTCTGGATCTAGAGACTCCACTCCTTGGTGGGAAGTGAGAGGACAGAGCCAGTAGGCAGAGAGAAGCAGATGAGACTCAGAGGAAGAAAGAGCAGAGGCGTCCAAGCCTCTGTTCCCACTCTCCCATGCCACAGTCTGTCCTTGGTTCCAGGGGACCCAAGTGACCAGGGCCCTTAGAATAAATTCCCCTTTTTTTCTAGTTTGACTTGGATTTCCATCAACCCAATGACTCCCAGAAAGCAAGTGTTTATTTTGCTGCCAGGCTTAGGGTCACATCCATGACTGCAAGCCTGTGGCAGGGGGTGGCCATAATGAGTTAAGAGTCCTCAGCAGCAGTGTCCTGGGTCAGTTCTTTCTACAGAATCACACAGCCCTAGAACAATTTGTGAATGAACGCAGGGATAGTGGGTGAGGCAACCAGTGAGAGGCAGGAGACTAAAGGTTTTCCTCTAAATGATCGGGATATTTAAGGCAGAGGCTGCACTTGACCTGGTATAGACAAATCTGCCTGTCGGGGTAGGGGTCAGAGGTGAATGAAGGCACCATGATATGCATGATTCAGAAATTTCTTGGACCACTGAGCTAAAGGCAAAATACTTCCTATGTACTTTGGGGGTCAGGATTTTGAATTAGTGATATTGTTTATGTGGCTCTCATTACCCAAGTAGACATTTGAGTGTGAAAATGTGCTAAAAACATCAACACCACTTCTAGGAGCACAAAATTCAGTATTTGGAAAGAGTTTGCACTTAGAATGAATCTAATTCATTATAATAATGAGAAGAAAACAAACCTGAAATATCACTAGATCAGCTTCCTGAACTTTTTTCTGCTCATCAATTATGTCCCTAGTGAGAGACCTCTTCTTGCAGGCTTCATATGCTTCCACCCCGTAACTGAAGAACTCGGGATTAGAGAGAGCACCTGCAAAAGAAGAAGCCCAAGGCTTTCGCTCTCAGAAGAGTGCCCACAGCCCATCCAGGCCACTCCCTCTACAGTCATTAGCCCTGCATTCCCCAAAGCACGTCGCCACCCACTGAGACCCAACCCGGTGGTCAGGCTACGGAAATAAAAAGAAAGGAAGCTACTGTCCTTACCTTCAAGGGACTCAAATCCAGTAGAATTAGATAAAAAACTAAACAAATGATTAACATACAAAACAGGATTGGTCAGCTAGCTCAGTCCGGGGCATGTGGTCTAACTCCGGTGTGTTTTAAGTATGGTGGTGGCTTAAAAAGGCAGTGACCAGCTCTGTTTGGGTGGTTTAGCCAACACTTCCCTGGGGATTAGCTTTGTGAACTGGGTTTTGAAGACGGAGGAGTTCACCAGGTAGCCTGGAACACTAGGGGAAAGAGGAAGGACGTTCTGGGCAGAGTGTCCGACAACCTGGCCAGCCCAGAAAAGGGCCACCAGGAGCACATCTGAGTAGCAGGGGTGGAAAGGGGGCCAGAAGGGATGCATGTGACATGACTGCAGAGATGGGCCTTATGCTCTTGTGAGCCTTGCTAAGGAGATGAAACATTCCATGTATGTGGAGAGCCATACTGTTTAAGAGAAAAAATAAATTCTCTGATTTGGGTTTAGAAAAGCTTACTCAAGCAGCAGTGATTCAAGAGCTAGCCTGGGGCAAGGGGTGAAGTCAGCTGGTAGCAATGGGTGGGAGGAAGTTTTTCAGGACTAGAACTTAACAGTACCACCTGGCAGCAACGACAATGAAAGATAAGTTATCTTAACCTACACCTTTAATTGGCTCTTGTCAACCAAAATGATCCATCGTAAGGCTTTAATCGGTATTAACAGTAGGTTACCGTTTATTGAGATCTTCCTTATCAGGTGCTGTCCTCTCTCTACACATTTCACTTTCTCTATTCACAACTGATGAGATGGGTGTAATTCCCAATCTACCAAAGAGGAAACAGATTTAAGAGAGGCCAGTGACTAATTCAATGCCGCAGGGACCTAAAGTGGGAGCATGAGGGCACAGGTGTGAACCCCTCAACACTTGGGGTCTGGGGAAGAGCAGGCAAACTCCGGGCCACTTGGAGAAGAGCCTAAAGGAGAACTGGACCACCAGGTCTTCAACAGATTCAAAATTTAAAAACATTTTAGTGTTCTTTGCTTCTTCTTTTAATCTACCTCTATTTCATTTTCATTAAAAAAAACACATACTGAGTGCTTCTATACATGAGGTTCAGTACTGACAGGAATCCCTAAGAGGCTAATTGCTGTAGGCAAGAGGCTGTGCACTCACAGGGAGGTTACCAGGTAGGGTTCGGCCACGCACGGTATGTGGGACCTATAGCAGACACGGGAGCTGGTTTTATAATCAAACAGACATGAGGTAGATTAGCAAGAGGGAATAAACAAATTTAATACATACCTACACATGGAAACCCCACATATGTGAGAGTCAGAGACCCCACATGTATGGGAGATTCAGAGACAGAAAAGTGTGTAGGACACTCTCAGCTAGGGATGTCTTGGGGGCTTCAAAGGGTCATTGAAGGAAGATAACAAAAACAGATGTTTAGTAAATAGAAGTTTGTCCTACCCTATAGATAGGACAAAAGGGGTTCTCTCTATTCTCTTACTATGGGCAAGGCCCCTAATTCAAGTTCTTCTAGGAAGTTAAGGGAGGGGCAGAATTTTCTCTTGAGCCCATAGCTAAAGTTGCCTTTATCTCAAAACAACCCACAGGCGTGGAGACACATTTGAGGTGACTCATTCTGAACTGCCACAATAATAAAAAGAGACAATAAAATGTGCAAGAGCCAAATGTATTTGAGATAAATTTAAAAAAATAAATATTGAAGGAAAGCAGAGATTGCCACCCCAAAATATGTCTCTTTGGGGATATTGATTATTTCAGGCTAGTTAATTTGAAGTAACAGCAGACATGAGAGAAGCTCTGGACACCAAGTATAAGTTACCTTTTATAATGAAAAAAAAGGGGGTTCTGTAATAAATCTACCAGAGGAACCTCACAGGGTGGTTTGATCATAAATTCCTAACTGGCAGGTCATGATGGGTAGTCACACCTCAAGCTCATATACTTCTCTAGTAAAAGGTTATCTCTGCCTTAAGCAACCCCTATACATTGTCCTTGGCAGCTAGTTTAAACATAGAATATATAATTTTTTATAGATAAATTCCACTTTTTAGGGGGGTTCACCCCCATAAAAGAAACGGAAAAACTATCATTCTCAGGAGTATCTGAGATCTCACTTCCCAAAAGTGTTGTCAGTTTTGACTCAAAAAAACCTAGAAAAGCTCTCTACAGGTGGGATACTCTTACACTGACAGTAGTAGGACACTTAACATTTGTAAGGGAAATGGCCATTTGTAAGGGTGTTTCCCTCACTGTACCAGGAAGAGAAAGTTATCTAAATCTCTAGAAACTGTTATCAGTGGAGAAGGCCTGTGCTTAAATCAGTACAATCCTACCCTTGTTTACTGTGCTTTTCCTGATTACCTCCATAACAGTATCAAAGCAAAGGTATCCAAGCATCTCAAGAAAATAATTTTATAAGTATGGGTGTGGAGAGGTCTCTCTAGATAAGGAAATCCAGAGCCATAAAAGACTGACATGTGGCTTGAAATAAGAGTCAGAAACAACATAAATATAAATCGAAAGAGGTAAGTTATAATACATACCATGGAGTGCTATATAATCTTTAAAAAGACTTCTGAAAGCTCCCATGAAAAAGGCTCTATTTGTATCTGTAGCTATAGAATTTCAAACCCTATATATAAACTTTTGTTGATATTTACAGTAAGATCTATAATGATCCATACCAAAAAGTTACGCTTATTTGTCTCTGGGTTCAATGTGGGACTGTAAGAAAAGTCCTTGTATTTTTTACCTTATGTTCGCCCATATTTTATTTTATTTTGTTATTTTTTAAGAAGATTTTATTTATTTTTTAGAGAGAAGGGAAAGAAGAGAGATGGAGAGGGAGAGAAACAGCAATGTATGGTTGTCTCTCCTGAGCCCCCCACTGGGGACCTGGCCTGCAGCCCAGGCACGTGCCCTAACTGGGAATCAAACTAGCAACCCTTCAATTCGCAAGCCGGCACTCAATCCACTGAGCCACACTAGCCAGGGCTGTATTTTAAAATATTTTTTTTTTACAATAAGCTGTTACTTTAGTCACTTAAAAATCAGTGAATCCTTAATGAAATATCTTCTATTTTCCTAGCCTCTGCTCATTAAGTGAAAATAGTTGATTGATTTAGAAAAACAAAAAGACAAGGATGTCAACTATTACCATCAGTACTAAATATTAAATCTGGAGATCTCGTTAACACAATTACAAACAGAAGAAAATTAAAGGTGTTAAAATACTGGGAAAGGAGAGGTGAAATTATCATTATTTGTAAGTTATGTGATTGTAATTTAGGAATGGCCCAGGGCATCAGCTAACAACTACCACAAACAGTAAGAAGGTGAGCAGTGGCTGGGTGCAACCACACACGTGGATGCAGAGGCACACGCAGCGAGAAACAAAAACCAGTTAGTGTGAATTAGGAAGATCTGTATGAAGAAAATTACACCCAGACCTGGAAGGTTGTATAGAGGACAAGAGCAAATAAAATGCCATACCATTCTCTTAGGTAGAAGGAATGAACATCATAAAATTTCATCTGTGAATTTATTGGGATGCAAATAAAAATATCTGATTACTTTTTGAATCTGGTAAGCTAATTCAAAAGATTTTATAGGAAAGTAAACAGTTACAAAAAATAGAAAGTAAGGAAAATGAGATTGACCTAATTCTATTAGATATTAACTTACATTATTTGCTAAAATAAATAAAACCATGTGGTACTGTAACAGGGTGAGGGGGGGGGTGCCCCAAAATAGCAAAATATGTTCCCCACAGCCCACTGTTAGTGGATGGGGGAAAGAAATGATATGGTTGTTAAAATACTTTTCATAACAATGGCAAGTTGATACCTACTTGATAGCTGTGCTTTAGCCCAGGGCAAAGGTGTATTCAGTGACTCACGACATAGTCAGGGGAGGTGGCCCACCCTGATTGTCTGTGTGCCACAGGAGATGCTTGTCCTGGCTAAAGATGGCAGCTGATGAAGGGAAAAAATATGAGGGAATTGGCAAAAGTAGCACATGGTAGGACAGGCTGGATATGAGGTCATGCAGGAAGCTCCGGGCTCAGCATTTAAAAATAAGAGCAGGCTGTGAAAGGTAGGTAGCAGCAATGAGGGCTAAAAGAGAGGAGGGGTAGCAGGCAAGTAATCTGAAAGGGAGTAGAAGGGCTGTCCTGGCAGCCATCAGGAAGGCAGCCATGAGGAAGGAGCTGTGAAGCAGAGATTCCGCCATGCTGTCTGTAGTGAGAGAGGAGCAACTTCTGCTTCTCTGAGAATTCCACCATGAGGGCTGAAAAAGTAGGGAGGGAGCCATGAGGAAGTAGCCATGAAGTAAGGGTATTCAGCCATGAGGTCTCAGAGAGGAAGTGGCTATGCGGTTTGTAGTCAGGTTTCTGCCATGCAGCCTGGTCTAGTAAGGAAGGAGGCATGCAGCCTGCAGTGAGGAAGGACCTGGAGTAAAAAAGAGGAAATCTGCTGAAAAGTCTGCCTGGAGAAGATGCTGGCAAAACTGATGGAGCTGTGAACTGTGGAAACCTGCTAACCAAGCACAGATTTGTGGGAGATGTTTGGAATGCTGAACTGTGACAGACTTCCGCTTCTCTGAAAGACATAGGGAGAGGCCACTCTCTTGGGACATGTGCCTCCCTGGACTCCACCATGATCCAGCATAACATGGCACATGTTTCCCTGAACCATTACCTGGAGGCTGAGGACAACATACCCCAGATGCTGAAGGAGAGAGCTGCTGCTGGAGGATGGCAACTCTGAAACCCATGAATGTACCTTCCAGAGGGGATGGAGACCTGTTTGTGCAG